AAATATTGATTGTCTCATTTTTAAAGTTTTTCAAATTTAATATTATCATAATAATTTTGAATATATATTTATAATTAAAGTAATTAGTTTAAATGACAAGAAATAATAAATGTTATTAAAGTTTTATCATAATAAAGATTAATAACTTTAAATCAAGTTGATATTTATCTTTCTGAAACTATTTTTTTATATGATCAATTATAAGTTTATATTAAAGTATTAGGTTTTATAAATAATAAAAAATCTATCAAATAAGAAATATTGTATATAATAAAGTACTTAAATCCTAAATAGCAAATAAAATAACAAGGGGATTTAAAAAAAAATAATAAAAAAAAATACCAATATAAAGAATTTAAAAAAAAATAATTAAAAAAACAAATACCGTAAGGGATTTTTAAAAAAAAAAAATAGAAAATCAATAAAAAAAAATATCGGGAAAGAGGAATATAAATAAATAATCAAATAAATAATAATAATAAAATACCTACCAGAGGGAGAAATTTAAAAAATCAATATAAAAACACTGGAGAGGAATGGGAAAAATTAGAAAAAATATATATATAAAAATAAAAAGATAGGAGAGAGGAAAAAAATAATAAAAAAATTGAAAAAGAAAAAAAAATTTAAAAAAAAAATTTGTTTCAAAAGGGTGAGTGGAAGAATAAAAAAATAAAATAAAATAATAAATAATTAAAAAAACTGAAAATAATAATAAATTAAAAAAAATATCAAACTACGAATTAAAAATAAGAGAGAACTGGATAGGTAGTGCTCTGAAAGGATCAGGTCAGACCTGAGTAATCGACCTGATCTGGATTTAAATCAAGTTAGAATTGGTAATTTTAATGACCTGTAACCCACATAACCTGACCTGTCAGGTTAGGGTCATACTGTTACTTTGATCCAGAACAACCTGAGTAACCCAAGATAATGTTATAATGATGCATAAATTTTTAACACAAAAAAGTTTTTTTTACGCTAAATTTTACGTGTATTTTTTTCACACAAAAGATTTTTTACGTGTTAAATTTTAGCTTTATTTGTGGCTTATATATGTGAAAATATAAATATGCTCAAAACTATTAACCTTATTGAACTAGTATCTCAACTTGAAAATAAAAAAGTTTATGTTGTAACAGGTAAAATTTTAGATAGATTTAATTAGTAGAATAGGAAGTCAATTTTATTGCTATGTAGATCTTCTATGAAGATCATTTTGTCTATTTTATTGCTGTCGATCAATTATGTAAATCTATAAATGTCAATTTTATTGTTTTTGATAATCACGTAGATCATAGATATCCATTTAATTGCCTGCAGATCTGGCAATTTTATTGATACGACAACTTTATTGCCTAGCGAAATGGTAGCTTTATTTCTCTTGATATATTTAGTTTATTTATTTTATTATTTATTCAACATGTATAAATATCTCTGTATTTTCTTTGAGTTTTAGCACTGATGAGATCTTAATCTTTTAGGTACTGAACTTATATATTATATTAATAAAGGAGTATAATTAACCAAATATAAAACTTATCCTTCACAAACCCTTTGAAACTGTTATACATTATTTGTAATCCTTTACATTCATGCAATTTCTTTATTAGTTAACTTATTATATGATATTGTATTGATTTGCTGTATTGACTTAGAGTTCTTAAAGTGTAATCTCTAAAATATTTTTGAATTATCTTTGTGTTTATTTTGTGTTTATCTCACGTGTTTATTATTAAGAATAATTCTTTGACATTATTGTGAATCCTCACCTGTAATTCCTTGAATAATTGTCTTAGTTTTATTTACCCCTTTTGAGATTTTATTTGAAGTTATAATACCTAACGTAATAATGGATAATAGGTTGTAACTCTATGTGAAAGGATTAAAAGGATATAAAAAATAGTTAAATTAAAAAAATACCAGAAGAAAAGATTAAAAAAAATTAAAAAAAATATAAAAAATTAATAAAAATATTAATAGATAAAAAAAATAAATCCAGAAGGAATAAAAGAAAACAAAAATGTGAAGTTACGATTTACTGTAATGAACCTTTTTTCAATATTACAATATCATGAAAATTATTAAAAAAAACTTAAATATTTACATAAAACATTTTAACAAACTGTTTTAAAACAGTTTTTATGTCATTCATATTCAAATTATGGATATTTACTATATCCTAATAAGGCCAAATAAATACTATATAGAGAAGTATTTTATATTTCTTTAAAAAAGTATTTCAAGATTAAAACTTCTATTACATCTACATTTTCTTGCACGTATTACTATTTGTCTTGCATGTAAAAATAATTCTAAATGAATATTTCCTCCTTATTTAATTTCTATTTCACTTTGAAATACAAGCAATTCACTTAAGCAAATGCAAATATTTATTACCTATTTATCTTCATTCTTCAATAAGTAGAACACCAGAAGCAAATCCTTTTAGTGAATATTGTAATATTATAGGAACTATAAATTATTTTAAAAATATTAGATCTTTTACTTTATATTTTAAAATGTTAGAAGCATTTCTTAAATTAAATGATACTAATACTGATAAAAATTATTAGTTTCATCTTACTCTTATTCAAGGATCAAATTGGTTAAAAAATAATAACATTTAAAACCATTTAAAATACATCTTGAAAAATAAAATCAAAATCTTAATACACCATTTCCAATAACAATTCATTTATTAAAAAAAGAAAACATTTCTACAGTAAGACCAGATGAAATTATAATACCTAATAATAAATTTAATATAGAAATATATGATAAAGATACAAATTTTAATTAGCTTATGATAGGATTTGCTAAAACAGATAATTATTTATTTTTTCCTATATCATTCAGTGATCCTGATCTATATTCAGATGGTAAGGAATATATCAAGATTTGATAAATTAAAGTTTAGCTTTAAATAAAAAAATTTAAACTTATGAAAAATATATTAAAGAATAAATTGGAAGAAAAGATCCAAGATTTAGATTACATTATACATAGCCTACATAGTCTTATTTATAATTAGAAAAATATCATAATTATCAAAATAATCAAAGAATTTTTTGACAAAATCAAGCATCTCAATTATACAGTCCTATATGTATTATTGATTTAATTCAAAAAGCCTTTATACTGACAAACCAATAATTAATAAACAAATTACTACTACATTACTAACTTTTATCAGAATATAAAACTTATATTTTTGGGAAAAAGAAATATCATATTAATATAATGATAAATAATATTAGTTTATCTCAATTATTTATAATATTAATGATAAATGAAAGCAGATAGAAACATTTAAAAAATATTTTATCAAAAACTGATAATCATGATACATTACCAATTAATTGACTATTTCAATGTATACATTATATTATATACTGCTTAAGAAATATGAAAAATAATCTTTGGAAACATTTAGAATTAATAAACTGAGAACAATATTACATTTTTTTGAATATGTTAAATTTTAAAATCATGATATAACTTATATTTATAGATGCTATGAACAATAAATCTATTAGTAATATAATAAATAATAATATTATAAGAGCAGATTTACCAGATCGAGAAATAGAATCAGAATTATATATTCTTATAAAGACTTATTAAATTCATACATATAATTTAAAATATGGTAGACTAACTGCTTTAAGAGAAATATACAAGAAAGATTTTCTATAATCATATTTAGAAAATATATATATACAAATACAAATGATTCAAGATTTGTTTATAAATGTAAAAAAAAATAAGATAGATAGATAGTATCATATTATACACTAATACTTTATATCACATATCAATTTATAATATATAATAATAAAAGGATTTGTAAGATATATGACTAAATATATTGCAAAAAGAGAACTTACCTATATTTTCAATATTTAAAAAAGTAATAAATATAGACAATAAATTCAAGGTTGCAGATTAGGAACAATGAAATTAATATTTTTAATTCTTGGAGAAACTATTTATAATTCTTCTATTAAAGTTCAATACTTAATTATAGATCCTTCAAGTATAAGATAAAAATAAATACTTCCAATTTTATTGTGAATAAATTTAGAGAATAATGATACACTATTTACTCAGACTTAATAGAAAATATTTCAATAGACCAAAATAAGATGAATTTGAATTATTATCATATTAAGAATACTTTGAAACTATAATATTACATCTTCAAAAATAACAACTCTAAGAAGAGTATTTTAAAGTAAAATTAAAAATTATATTGTAAAAAAAAAACTAAACTCATAATAAGAATAAGACATTTAAGACTAGTATCAATAGTTATTATTAAGACTTAGACCTAGAAATAGAGAAGAATTAAAAGGAAATTTTTTATATAAAAAAAATATCAAGAAGAAACTGATAATTTTAATAACCAATTTTTTGAATTTACTCACATATTTTTATAAAATCTAATGAATTTAACAAATTTACAATTTAAAGAAATAATCTATAACCAATTAATGAAAATGAAAATATACTATCAATAATAACATTAAATATAATGTTAACAATACCAAATGATCAATATCAATGTATTAAAAGAATAATAAGAATTCTAGGTCCATTAGATAGAAAACATTATTCATACTTCTTTATAACAGAATCTACTGGAACTGAAAAATCATATATTACTTATTATCTATTACAAGAATTTCAAAAAAATGATCCTTATTTACTACTTGCACTAACTGGTATTACTGTACAAAATATTAGAGATTATATAATATATTCAGCCTTAAAAATTCATATTACATAAGGTAATTTTCAAATATTAACATTTAACAATAAATCATTTAATAAAAATCTTAAAAAAATAAAAATTCTTATAATTAATGAAATATCAATAGTTTTATTTGAATTATTTAGCTATCTTTCAAATATATTTTAAATTACATAATAATTCATAACCATTTGTAGGAATAAGTATTATAATCTTAGGAGATCTTTTCAATTACTACTAATAAATGGAGATCTTGTATTTTATTCATCTATATGGTAATTATTTTATCTACTTTTCTTAAAACAACCAAAAAGACAAGTAGATGATCTTTAATATTATTCACTATTAGAAAATATTAGATTTGAAAACATTTCAGAATCAATATAGCAATTATTAAATAAAAAATACTAAGAAAGTTCAACTAATTTATTATTAGAAGATATATTAAATACAACTTATGTTGTAGGTTATAAGGAGATAGCTGAACAAATTAATACTCAAATTTGTAATACTTTACCAATTGAAAATGAAAAATATTAATTTCATATTCAAAGAATATTATTAATAAAGAAGTATAAGAATATGGAAGTTCAGAATACTTAATAAAATATAAAACAAACTTACCATCTTTTATAAGATTGCAAATAGAATATTGAGTAATGTTTTTTAATAAAAAATATATTAGTAAATAAATGTAATAATACCATAGGTATTATTACAGATATTGACAAAACTAGAAAAATAGTAAGAGTAGCATTTTGTATAAATAAAGAAATTTTTGATTTTGAAATAGAACAAGAAACTGTACATTTTAATATTAATGGAATATTAGCATGTAGAATTCAATTTTTATTACAAAATACTTTTGCTTTAATAGTTCATAAAATACAAGTGATAATTTTATTAAAGATCTCACTTTATTTAAATAATCAAATGTTTATACAAAACCAATCATATGTAGCTTTAAGTAAGTGTAAATTTTGGAATGTTACAAAAATTTTGGCTTTTATACTTAATGCATTTTTAGTTAATAAAAGAAAAAAAAAGAATATATTAGACTAAAGAAATTATCAGAAACTAGATTACCTATTTAAATCTAAATATTAATAAAATTATTTTTGTTAAAATACAAATAAAATAGATGAATGACGTAGTTACATATTCTAATTAATAATATAAAAAAACAAATAAAACTAAACTAATATAATAATTATAATATATAATTATCTTTAATTGATTTCTATTTTTTGTATGGAGAAAACCCATATTACTTTATAATTATTTAACTGATGTGGCTTTGACACAAATTTTAAAAATATATATTACAACAGTTTTAATTTTTGGATAAGCATTTTAAACTCAACACTAATAGTTATAAATATTATTTTCTAATTGAGTTACAGATGCATCATCAAAAGGATATTTAATTCCTTGAGAAAATTCATCAAATTCTTTAAGGATAGATATAAAATCACAGTCTAAGCTTTATAATAATAAACTAACCATATATAAATAGCTAATTTGTGATCTTGATAGTAATGTAAAATAATTTGACCTTTAAACTGGATGAAAAAGCCAAAAGAGAATAAGAAGAGGTTGTTTCTATACCTTTCATCTTTTTTTATAATTGGATTAAAATTCTATTGGCTATATCATTGTCCAAATAATTTTGCTAAAACTGATAAATATAAGCAAACTTATGCAAAATTTCAAATAATCATGTTTTATCAGTTTGTAAAATATTAAGAATAGCATAATAAGAAAATAAAAGATATTCTAATTTTATTAGTAACCTCTAAAAATACCTGTTTATAATTATATTATTAATTTTATGTAAAATTATTAACAGATCTGCTAGTTGTTCCTTAGTTATAAAAGTTGGAATTCAAATTTTGTAGATAAAGATTAATAATAAAAGTAGTAAATTAATTAAATTATTGTATTGTAAATATACAATTAAATAATAATTTAATTTATCTGTAAAGTATTTTTAATAGTATTCAAACTTTTATAATAATTAAAGTAACTATTCCACTTTGTATCACCTGAAACTGCAGGTTAAATACATTTTCTATATATTTCCATTTAGATGTCTCAAAGCTTTCCAATAAAATATTTATTATTTGAATTTTTGAAATAAACTGCTAGTTTTAAAGCTTGATGTGATATACTTTTAAGTTCAGATGAAACCTTAAAAATTTTTCCTATATACAAATTAATTTGAATGCATAGCAAGGTAAAAAACAATATTCTGATATTGAACTTAAAGTCTTTTTCTATATTGGTCTACTATAAATTACCAGATTTTTAGTCACATGAATCAGCATTCAGTTTTACAATCAATAATTTCATCCTATTGTACTATACATATAAATAAAAAAAATAAATTGTTTTTTGTTTCTCTTTTAGTTTTAAATACATGAAAAAAATTATCAGAAGTTTAACGTAAATGTATTATTAGCACTCATTTAAGTGGTATTAGACAAATATTATTTCAGTTCAACTTGATATTCCTATAAGTACAATAAATAATATAACTAAAAAATATAAGAAACAGGTTTTGCAACACCTAAAAAATGTTTTGAACATTCAAAAATCCTCTCTCAACATGATACTCAGGTTTTATAACACATAATTTGTACTGATTAGTTTTCTTCTTAATGATGTAAAAGATAAACTAAACTTTAATTTTAACATAACTTTACATAATAATACTATTAGAAGGTATCTTTATAATATAGTCTTTGTAGTTATTCTACGTAAAAACCTCTTTTAAATAAAATCAGTAAAATGATTATTTAAGATAATGCAAAGAAAAAGAAATTAGAAAGAAGAATAGAAACAAATAATATGGTCAGATGAGTCAGATTTGTTCTTTTTGAATCAGATAGTTGAATAAGAGTATGGAGAAATCTTGAAAAAACATATAATAACAATTGTATTCAATCTATAATTAAATTTAGTAGAAGATCAGTAATATTTTAGGGTTGTTTTGGTTGGCATAAAGTAGAAAATATAACGAAATATTAAAAAAATAAAAATATTAAAAAAGCTAAACAAAAATTAAAGAAAAATGAAAATTAAAAAGAATAAATAAAGAATACAAAACTAAACTAAAAAAATAAAACTAAACTAACTAAAAAACAAAAAACTTAAAAGAATTAAAAAAGTAAGATAAATGAAAGGTTAAAAAAATTATTAAAAAATAAACAAATACAAAAGTAAAAAACTATAAATAAATTAAAATAAAAATATTTAAAAAGATTGAAAATAAAAAACATAATGTTAACTAAAAACTATAAAAAGAATAAAAAGAAAAAAATAGAAAAACGAATAAAAAAAGAAAAAAAAAATAGAAAAACCATATAGAAAAAGAAAAATAAAAAAATAATATAGAAAAAAGAAAATAAAAATAAAAAAAATAGAAAAACAAAAGTTTCGAAAGGGTGGATAAAAGAATAAAAAACAAAAATTTTTTAAAAAAACAATAAAAAACAAATGATAAAATTTAAAATGTTTTAAAAAAAATTTTAAAAAATGATAAAAAAAAGGAAAAAATTATTAAAAAAACAAATACTAAAGGGAAGAAAAAAATCAATAAAAAAAGAAATACCAATATGGGAAATTTAAAAAAAATTAAAAAGATAATAAATAAAAAAAAACATTGAAAAGAAAAAGGAGAATTTTAAAAAAAAAAATAAAAAAAATTAAAAAAATAAAAAAGAAACAAAAAAAATAAATAAATAAGAAAATTAATAATAAATAGACCTGAAGAAATAATAATTAATAATAAGAAAAAAAATATTAAAGTAAAAGATCAGAAAGGGGAAAAAAAATATAAAAAAATAACAGAAAGTGGAAAAAAAATAAAAAATATATATTAAAAAAGATATAAAATAAAAAAAATAGTAAAATTAAAAAAAAATATCAAATACTGGGGGAGTAATTTTAAAATATATATATATATATAAAAATATTAATAGATAAAAAAAAACCTAAGGAATAAAAAAAAAAGAAAAAAAACAAAATGAGATGTTATGATTTGCTATGATGAAATTTGAACGTGAATAGCTTGACATCTACAAGACAGAACCTTTTCAAATTTAATATACAGATTTAGTAGATTCTGATCTTTCAAACAAGACTAAAACTGTTCATATCCAATCACTCTATCCAAATATATTTGATAATATCTGAAAGTAATTATTTTGAGATTCATCACAGAAGAATCTCAAATAAGTGTAACTACTAGACTGAAAAAAAGAAACTGTCTAAAAAGTAATGATATAGAATACTAATTTCACTAAAGATAGTGTTACAACATTGTGACGCTTATTTATCACCTGTTGCAACTTAAATTTTAATAATGTTACAATTCGTTGCAACATTATGATGCTTATTTGTCACTTGTTGCAACTAATTGAGGTATCATTTTTAAATTTTACCATCTGGAAATCTAATAAAGGTAAGAATTGTATATTAATATATAAGAAAATAAAGTTACTTATAAGTGTTCAAAATCAAATATTTAAACTGCAAATTCTTAAAATCCTTAAAATAAAGCAATTATGTAATCCAAAGATCATAGAAATTCTAATTCAAGGCAATCAGATATAGCCCTAAGAGAACTTCAAAATAATCAAATATTCATCAAATTGGATTACTGAAAGTTAACTAAAATAACATTAAAAATTGATAAAATATTAAGTTGTTTTAATTTTAGAGTAAGTATTTATAAAAAAATTTTGAATTAATTTTCTGATAATACTAAGGTTTTATTACCTATAAAAGATAAAAAAATTGTCTATTATTGTGTAAAAATATGAAATTACTTATAGAATTTTAAAATACAAAATTTCTATTCTAATTCAACTATAACCCAATCATAATCAGATCATAACCCAAACTTTATTCTAATCTAATCTAATCCAATTATAATCTTAATGAATACTAATTTAATTATAATTCAACTTAATCTGATTCAATCATATTTCTGAAACTAATCATTCTAATTTGATTTTAACTTAAATATACTTTAATTTTAATCTTAACCTAATTAAACTAAACCTAATTATCTTAGAATTTGTTAAAACTTTACCCTTTTTTTGTTATGAAATGACCCTAAAGCATCATCTAGGTATAATTGCTAATATTCTATAATATATTACGCTATTATTCTTCACTATAAAAAATGTTATGCTGCCTTTCTAGACAGGTCATAAAATTGCTGATCACTAAAATAAAATAAAAATTGTGATGCGATATTAAAACAAATATATTGCCAAGATCTGGTAAAATTTTTATTTTAATTATTTTTTTATTTTTTACTTTCTTTTATTTTCATTTATTTATATTTTTAAAAAAACGAAATATGAACGAAAAATACTAAACAAAAATAAAGAAAAAAAGAAAAAAAATAAATAAAGGAAATAAAATAAAAAAATAAATTGCTAAAATAATAAAAATTACATAAAGTACAAAATAAAAAAAATAAAAAAACTAAAAAAAAATAAGTTAAAAAAATAAAATATAAAAAGAAT